AATCAGCTATGCTGATGATATTCTTATACATACTAAAACTCATCGTGAAATGCAAACCACCCTGAACCATGTATACGCAGCCTGTGAACACCTCGGTCTTATTATCTCCACTGACAAAACTAAGGTGTTCAACAAACAAGCTGGGAACCGCAAACGCGGCCCCGCTAAGTTCAAGATAGGTAACAACACTATTGACGATGTTTCTTCTTTTAAATATCTTGGTGTTTCCGTCCCTTGTACCCTACCTGCCATACAACAGCTAACCCACCAATGTACTGACAGACTGAGACCTCTTAGAAGTGTAGAGGGGTACAGCCCGCACTATGGTGCTAATATCAGAATTGTTAAAACAATGTACCTAGGCTATATAAGATCTCTGATAGATTACCACGCACCAGCCCTGGTCATTCGTGACGGGAAAGGCGTTGACAAGCTCGAGAAAATGCAAAATAAAGCCCTCAGAATTATCCTAGGATGTCCCATGAGCACTAAAGTACTTAATATGAGGAAAGAACTAGGTATACCCAGTGTTAAAGATAGAATAATTGAAGTCAACCTCATGATAGCCCTGAGGCTTCTGCGTGGTGATCCTGATAACATTGTTTCCTTAAAATTGCTAGAATGTATGAACCATGGGACTACTGAGTCTAAATGGATCCAAACTACAGCTACACATATGAAGATATTTGGACTAGACCACCTGTACAAAGTTGAGACACAACAGCGCTTCCTGCCACCCTGGCGGACAGTTCCCTTCGATATCACAATACCGACGTATCCGCCTAAAAAATTAATTATACAAAGCATTTATCTCCAACACACTGCCAAATTGAGAGCTCTTGAACACATACACACTCTACAGACTGATGATAATATCACACAGACCATCTACACTGATGGATCTCTAAACACCGCCTGTGGGAGGGCTGGAAGTGCTATTGTTGTGACTCAACCTGACGGTAATATAATTGAGAAAGGAGTTAGAATTAACAACTGGGCATCCACTCTACAAACTGAATTAGTTGCCATACTCACAGCTATTAAATTCATTGAAACCACTGTTACTGACAGTCTCATCATCACTGACTCTCTATCCTCACTACTTGCCCTTGGTACCCTCGACTCAGGTTGTCACGATCTTGTCTCTGAAGCCAGACACAAATATGCGTGCCTTGTTGACCGGGGTGTCAGGGTCAAACTGTTGTGGATCCCCTCTCACATAGGCCTCATAAAACATGACAGAGTTGATGCCCTCGCCAAACTCGCGTCTAACAAAGACACCGTTGAATACAATTTGGGTCTGTCAAAAAGAACCCTTAAAACTGTAATTAGGAAAGAACTTATTGATGAGTTTGACGCAAGTAGACAAGTGCAAACAGGCACTAGTCGATCCATAGTTTACCATGATGAGATGTATCAAGTGAAACATGTATATGGAGCAAGTAACAAGATCACTAGATTACAAGATGTTGTAACCGCTAGATTAAGGTTAGGATATAAGTACCTTTGGCAGTATGTTCCTCAAGCAGATGTAAACAAAACTAAATGTAAAGTGTGTGGCCATACATATGGCCACACACTTGAACACTACGTCCTCGACTGTGTGAAGATAGAACCTTTTAGGGACAGGTCCAAGCACACTGTGTGTGAAATGGCACAACACTTCATCTCTAATGGCAAGATAGCCGACATATTAAGATTGTATCCACTTTTTTGCACTTAGTAACTATATCAGTTCTCATGTACAGAACCAAATACGCAATGTGCTTGAATACCTCCCACGTAAATGTGAATAACAAAGTGTGAGGCCAGACATACTGCCTCACACGCCTGTTCTCACGCATTTGTGAATAAGTTACCCTTTATGTATAGAACTAAACAAATAATGTAAATGAAATACTGTGTAACTTTCAGTGCCATAATATCCTGACAACCGGGGTTAATTATTATGACCCTTTGTAAACCCTACTCTGTAATCCTTTTGCGCTACCGCTCACAGGATGAGTGTGGGGGTGCACAATAAAGTAGCCGCTGCAAGCGGCAAAATAAAAAATAAAAATCAATCACAGCTAGTGCAATTTTGGTTCTGGCTTGCACAAACGCAACAATGTCTGTTACCCGGCATAGTGTTTCGCACCTTGGGCGACAGTTACTTCAGCCTCCGACATCTGCTTTGGTCCCATACAGGAGAAAAAAATAATTCTTATGAGGAAAGGGCGGAGAAGTGACAGGCTGGACTGCTGTGTCCGGGTAGTAGGGGCATACGTGCATGTGTAGGTGGCCACCCCCCCCTGTGGGCGACAATCCACACATCAGAATGATACACTGGAAGCAAGAAATTGTCACACCTAGCACTTGTTTATATATCCTTGGCAGAAATAACCACTATTTCTATAGTCGCACTGATATTAGATATATATACTCACTTGGTCGGCCGACACTACATGAAGTGTCCGTTACTTGGGGGAGGCGACCGCAAGCGTAGAACACTTGGCCACATAGGGGCGAGAGTCTCGATACCACCCCTGCCAAAGTAGGCCTATCGACACTGGCACTGGCACCTGCACTAGTCGTCCCACCCAATATCACAAACCGCTTGGTAATCGCGGGTGAACACACAGAATATTTGCAATTAATGCCGTAAGGGATGAGAAGAACCTTCGGTGACAATGATTAGGGTGACATCGGGATATTCATCGACACACTGTGAAATTCCCGCTCCCACACTCCTAACAGCATCTTAATTTGCACTCCCTTGAGAGACGTAGAGCGAGGGGCGACATGATAGAGGTGTATAAATGGAAGTCAGGGCTAAACAAAGGGGACATAACAAAGGTACTCAAACTATCCAACCAGGAGCGAACTCTTAACAATGGCTTTAAATTAGCCAAATTTAGATTTAGGCGCGAAATTGGTAAACACTGGTTTGGAAACAAAGTAGTGGATGAATGGAACAAGTTATCAAATATCATAATTAACAAGAACATGCTGGATATCTTCAAACATAGGTTGGATGCTTATATGAGCAATAGGGGTTGGGTGTAAATGGGATTGCCCAGTATGGGCCAATAGGCCCGCTGCAGTTTCCTTCATTCTTATGTTCTTATGATCATAACAACCACGACCATGATTATAACAACCACGACCATGATTATAACGACCACAACCATGATTATAACAACCTCGACCATGATTATAAAAACCAGGACCATGATCATAACCACGACCATGATTATAACAACCACGACCATGATTATAACACCCACGACCATGATTATAACAACCACGACCATGATTATAACAACCACGAGCATGATTATAACAACCACGACCATGATTATAACAACCACGACCATGATTACAACAACCACGACCATGATTATAACAACCACGATATTGATTATAACAACCACGACCATGATTATAACACCTACGGCTATGATTATAACAATCACGACTATGATTATAACACCTACGACTATGATTATAACAATTACGACTATGATTATAACAACCACGACCATCTATCTTCTAATATACTAGAGGAATAGCCGTGTCTGTGTGTGTGTCTGTCCTGGGCAGCCGAAACGGCACAATCGTTTTTCATCAAACTTGGTGGAAAAATCGCAAAAAAAATCCTAGAGTGGAAGAAACCTGGTCCCATGTCGATGGTTTCTATAGCAACGCATTAATTAACCATTTTATTTACATTGGAAAACAATGTCGCTGTACGCTGTCAGCGGGACGGCGGTTGCGCACTAGCCAAGCTCGAGCGTTCGAACTTTCACGCCTCGGTAAACTGTACCACCGAACTCGCCACCGGGCACGAATGGCCCACGATTACTCTCTATAAACGGCTTTACTTTTTCAAGAATAGAAAAAAAGGCCGTTACTGGCAACTGACATAAATTTGAAAATCTTCACTTTCTATTGCAAATTCATTAAATATGTGCATAAAACTTCCCTTGGAGCGCCTCTTCATTAACCACTGTTTGTAACACCATGTCATTTCTTCCCTCTTCTTTATCTCACAAGCAGTCAACACACTCCACAAAGCAGCTTTCGTTGCACGCGAAACTGGAGCCATTGCTCGCAACACCGTAGCAAGACAAACAAATGATAGTGACTGGAGTGTACAACTCATCAGGTAAACCTGATCGACACTGTCGGTCAGACTTCCCGTGTCGGACGGCATGTCGACAAGTGTTTACTAGGCTCTACCACCCTCTGAGTGAAAAATTATTTCCTTATATTCGTTCTGCATGATAACTTGGCGAGTTTGTAGTTATGTCCCGAGTTCACGTATTCCATCCTTTTCAGGATTTTGAATGTGAAGAGGTATGAATGGGGTGAGTGATATTATAGTTGAATAGCGGTTGATATAGTATATAACAAAATGAAAAGGCTATTGCATGCCAGAAAATTGGATTCATTGCCTATTGTTTTCACAATACGTCTTAGTCACTATTTTACAGTTTTATCGAAAATTTTGTATTATATAAAATACCTACTCTAGAAAACCACCACTTCACTCACTTGCCATAGCGCACTCTAAAAGGTGCAAATTCCACTGTCTTACACCTTCCACCCACTAGCAGCCAACTTAGACTAAAACTTGGGGTGCAGCTGTCCTATGAGGCAAGAGTCATGTAATTCAATTTGACGGCCAGTTGGCCTGTGTATATAGAACTGCCGTCCCTATGTAAGGGGCGAAAATGATGATCTAAAAACTAAATATAAATAATTTTCACTGTACAAATATAAGAGTTTAATTATACTCTCCACTGGTGCAAAATGAAGGATCAGGTGAATATATAAAAGACATTCCTCTTGGAGACTTGAGGAAAAATTTTACTTTTGGTTTAGAATAGGAATATGTACTTTGGTAAAAGAAATATTTTGCTGTAATACTCCGTTTGTGGATAAAACAGGAAGATATATAATCCATCTCTCACGCAACATATTTGTAACTCTCCCACACACAAACACACGCGACTCACCTGTATGGAGCCAACTTTCTATACATTCACCGGCAGGAATTTTAGTAGTCTCTGGTGGGGGTAAAGTTTGACCATACAAGCGCCTACATATACGACCATGCGTGAGACCACAATTCTCGTCATTCCAGTATCCTTGCTGATGATTGTACATCCCGATGCAGTCCTCTTGGGCTTTGGGGAGATATATCAAGTTCTTACCTAATAATATATAAGCTTTTTAAGGTTACTCTAAAACTTGTTAAGTAAAACTCACTTCCAGTATGGGATACCGTCATACCGTAAAATCGTATTTTATATCTGCTGATAAGAGGCTGTGGCAACATGCAGCGGGATAACCTTATGCAGCAGGGTGGCCACATGTAGCAGGGTGGCCACATGTAGCGGGATGGCCACATGCAGGGGGATGGCCACATGCAGGGGGATGGCCACATCCAGTGGGGTGACCACATGTAGTGAGGTGGCCAAATACAGTGGGATTGGCTACATCCAGTGGTTTTGGTCACATGCAGTGGGGTGGCCACATTCAATGGGATGGAACATAAAGTGGGGTGCTCATATGAAGTGGGGTGCCCATATGAAGTGGGGTGCCCATATGAAGTGGGGTAGCACATGCAATAGGGTAGCCACATGAAGTGGGAAGGCCATATTTAAATTGAGATTGAGTTATGACGTGCATGAAATAATTAGAATTTGATTGTGCTGAGAGAAAGAAGATCTCTCGCAAAGAATTATAACAGCCCGAGGAAACATACAAAAAGTGAAGAGAAAGAGTAAGAAAAAAAAAGAAAACGAGGGAAACAAAATTAGAAAAAAAACAATAACAGACACAAAACTGGAAAACAAAATAAGGAAATGAAATATGATTCTAGACAATTATAATGATTACAGTTAATGATGGAAATATTGTGGTTAACAGAGGATAAAACCGAACATAATCAAACATAATTAAAGGTTAACACCAATACAGTTAACATCAAACAACCACCAAATGTTAACTCCAACACAAAAAGATAACATCAACCAATGGCCAAAAGTCAGCGCCATCTCTGTTTATAATTACCTAAACAATTTCCAAAGATTTACTCCAACATAAACAGCTAACATCAAACATCAATATGTCCTCGTTGGCACTGAAACAAAAGATCACTTATAACAAGTCATCAATTGGTACACCCACCACCACCGAACTTGTCAACAATAACACCTACATACATACATATATATATATATATATATATATATATATATATATATATATATATATATATATATATATATATATATATATATATATATATATATATATATATATATATATATATATTTCATGTAAATCCACAATGAAAACGTGGATAAGATAAATCTTGATAAAATCACACGGGAAAATGGAAACAACGGAGTACCTTAGCTTTCGTCTTTATTCAAGACATCTTCAGAGGCAACTGGATTACATGGACAGAGAGAGGCTTAAATATACAGGGTGACCTAAAAACATGAGGTCAGGTCATAATGATGACATCCACTAATCCCCACACCAACACACACGTAGAGGAGCTTAAGAGAAGGGTGGTGACGTGACTAGCCAGGTCAGGTCAGAAAAAGGGACCCACAAAATAACTATCATACATCTAGATCAAAGGTTTTCAAAGCATTTTTAACCTTGGGCCACTGACAAATAAATTTATGTAACATATTATCAGTTTTGAACTGACCATCACTAAGGTTTATTGATTTTAATTCCTTAATCAAACTAGCTTCAACCAGAAGTCTTTCTGTGACACAAGATGATTTGAATACTTCTAAGCTTTTTTCCCAAGCAATGGGGTGATTATTATACCTAACATGAACGAACAAGGCACTGCTTTCAGATGCAGTTCTGATATTATACTTATGTTGTTTGATTCTGAGCTGCAGTGTTTTTCCTGTCTGACCTACATAATTACAATTACATTTGCCACATGGAATACAATAAACACTTCCATTTACATTCAAACTTGGGCTATTCCTTATTAACATATTGGTAATGGTTGAGTCATACTTGAAAACAACATTAATATTTAGAAGCTTGAGGGACCGAACTAACGGGACAAATTCATTACGATAGGGCAGAGTCAAAATATTCTTAAGTGTAGGAACTTGTCTGGTTTGAGAGGAATGAAAGGATTTTTTAGCCCTTTTAAAACAACGATCAACAAACACAGAAGGGTACCCAAGTTTATGTGCAATAGAACGAATGTGTTTCAATTCATCGTCAATAAATTCAGAGTCACAAATACGCAGACATCTTAGGAACATAACAGAAAAAACTGACATTTTGGTAGACTCAAGGTGATTCGATAAAGAGTGAATGAAACTGTCTACCTGTGTGGGCTTTCTATATACCTTAAATTTATAGTTTTGGCCATTTCTCATGATAAACATATCAAGAAATGGAAGGGATTCATTTATTTCTCTTTCAATTTTGAATGTGATACTAGGGGTCGGGGAAAATGGGAGTCAAAAAACAAGCAGGTCCTGGGAAGTAGTGAAACAGAAGTAGATAATGCTGAAAATATAGTTAGTCATAATAACAAACATCAAAGTAATAAATGTAAAACAGATAGAAACGGAAGAAATATATTGAGTGTTTATTATACTAATAGTAGAAGCCTGTGTAACAAAATGGACCAGCTCAGGGCCATTGTTAGTAAAGAGAACATAGATATAATTGCAATAACGGAAACATGGATAAATTCAAACAGCAAGCATTTTTTAGCAGAATTTCATATTCCAGGATATAACCTATTTAAATTTGACAGAGTAGGAAGGAGAGGTGGCGGTGTAGCAGTGTATATCAGGGTGTCATTAAAAAGCTGCAATAAATCAAACATTAAAACAAATAGCGACAATGAAAGTATTTGGGTAGAGATTGGTGAGGGCAGTGAATCCGTAGTCATTGGTGTTATATATAGACCACCTAATTTGAGTAGGAACGATGGTAAATTGCTATGGGAGGAAATAAAGAAGGCATCTGATAGAAACAATGTATGTATTCTAGGCGATTTCAACTTTTCAGGCATAGATTGGAAAAATCAACTTAGCGATAATGAATCTGAAGATTTTCTAGAAGTAGTACAAGATAGTTTTTTATATCAATTCATAAACTCGCCCACTAGAGGAAATAATATCCTCGATTTAGTTCTCAGTAATAATGAAAATCTAGTAAAAGATGTTGAGATTGGAGACGAACTAGGAAACAGTGATCATAAAGCCATATATTTTAACATAATATGGGATGGCAGGAAGAAGGAAAATTCGGCCTTGATCCCGGATTTTAGGAAGGCTAATTACGGTAGCTTAAGGAGAGACCTAAGGGATGACCCTATGGTCAAAAGATTAATCCCCCCCACACCTCCGGAAACTGTCAACTTAGGACGGGATAACCCCGAATTTAATTTAGCAGCTACTTATGAACAATTTATTGCGACAATCAATAATGCCCAAAATAAACACATCCCTAAAAGAAAATTTAGATCGATACGGAACCAACCAAAATGGATGAATAATAGACTCTTAGACCTTCTAGGGAAAAAGAAAGGAGTATATAGAAAAGTTAAGAAAGGCGAAAATCACTTACTTGGTTACTATCAGAACCTAACAAGACAGGTAAAAACAGAAATTAGGAAAGCAAAGAGAAATTATGAAATCAAGGTAGCAAACGAATCGAAAAATAACCCCAAAGCTTTTTATCAACTGTATAAATCAAAGGTTAGAGATACATGGAATTACATAAAACTACGACAGGAGAAATGACTGATGATGAGTTAAAGAAATGTGTGAATGCGTTAAATAGTCATTTTCGCTCCGAGTATTCCTAAGTGAAACCTAACTGGTTCCAAGTTTCATAAAATTATATAACGACAGTATAGAAAACCATGTTGATGAATATCAATATTACTAGTAACGATAATGCTTAAAGTAATTAACAAACTGAAGCCTCATAAATCGCCTGAATCCAGACGAAATTATATGCTAGAATATTAAAGAATGTAAGACGGTTAAGGTAATGCATTAGCAGTTTTATTTAATAAGTCATTAGAATCGGGCCTAGTGCCAGAAGCTTGGAAACTTGCAAATGTAGTTCCGATTTTCAAAAAAGGTGATAAATCAATTGCATCAAATTACCGTCCCATTAGTCTCATGTCAATCATAGGCAAGTTGCTAGAGTCAATTATTGCTACGAAAATCAGAAGCCACCTTGAAACATTCAACTTAATTCATTCTTCTCAGCACAGGTTCACCCAGGGACGTTCTTGTCTCACAAATTTGCTTAGCTTTTTCTCAGAAGTATATGAAGCGGTAGATAATGATAAGTCATATGATATAATATATTTAGATTTCAGTAAAGCATTCGATAGAGTCCCTCATGAGAGATTGATAAGGAAGGTAGAAGCACATGGAATAGGTGGATCATTATTAAAATGGATTAGGTCATGGTTAACTGGTAGGAAACAAAGAGTCAGCATAAATGGATTTAAGTCAGACTGGGGTGCGGTCAAAAGCAGAGTTCCCCAGGGATCTGTATTAGGCCCTCTGCTGTTTGTTATATTCATTAATGATCTTGATTTAGGTATAACTAGTAGGATTAGTAAATTTGCAGATGATACCAAAATGGGGAGAGTGATAAATTCAGACAGTGACTTTGGACACCTTCAAAGAGATCTAGATACCTTACATGAGTGGTCAGTAGACTGGCAAATGAATTTTAATACTGATAAATGCAAGGTACTACAGATAGGGAAGACGAATACAAACGTTAAGTATAAATCCAGTAACACGGAAATAGAAAAACTCAGTTTGTGAAAAGATCTAGGTGTATTTGTTAGCAACGACTTGAAACCTAGAAAACAATGTATTAGCGTTCGCAACAAGGCAAACAGGATTCTTGGGTTCATATCTAGATCTGTGAGTAACAGAACTGCTGGACGTTATCTTTGAAACTGTACCTAGCATTAGTGAGGCTACACATGGATTATGTTCAGTTCTGGTGTCCTTATTATAGAATGGACATAGATTCTTTGGAGAGAGTAAAAGAAGAATGACAAAAAATGATCCATAATATTAGGAAACCTTCCATATGAAGAAAAGACTGAAAAGCTTAGGGCTACATTCATTAGAGAGGCGTAGAGTTAGAGGAGATATGATAGAGGTGTACAAGTGGGTAAGTGGGGATTAACAAGGGTAAAATGGAAGATGTTCTGAAGCCTGGGGTAATAACGAAATAACTAGAACAAAATGTATTTTAAATTAGATAACCTGATTCAGAAAGGATATAGGCAAGCACTGGATTTGGTAACAGAGTTGTGGATATGTGAACAGGCTACCGAGTGCCATAGTAGGATCGGGGACGCTAGGGAGCTTCAAGACGAAGTTGGATAGGCACATGGAAGTGCTGGGATGGGTGTGAAAGGGATCTGCCCTGGCGGGGCCAGTCGGCCTCCTGCAGTATCCCACTTTCTTATGTTCTTATGTTCTAAAAATTCCAATGGGTCACTGTTTTTAGGCCAAAGACAAAGAACATCATCTACATATCTATACCATGGAGGAATAAAGTCCACTATATTGGGTAGTAATTTAGACTCAAAAAACTCCATATAAATACAGGCTAGAGGAGCAGAAACACAATTACCCATGCTCATGCCAAATATTTGCTTGTAGAACACATTGTCAGTTACGCATAACTCTATCAATTTCAGGAAAGTATCATGTTCAATAGTTAAATCTAGCAGTTGTAATTTATCTTTAAGAAATGAAAGTAAGTCTTTCACAGGTACTCTAGTGAACAGTGAATTTACATCAAAACTTATTAATTCGCAAGGTTCGTTGTGTTTTGAGTTTATCAATTAAATCACTGCTATTGCGTATATGTGACTAGGGTCCTCGCTTAAGCAGGACTTCAATTATTAAATATAAAAGCTTGAATGTAATTAAATGTAGTACAAAAACATGCAGTTAGAATCAAAACAATCAGTCTGTTGCTTTGAAACCTTGTGGGTCCCAACCTGACCTGGTTGCTGTCACCCTTTCTAAGCTCCTTCTTTAGGACTGACTTTTAGGTTTTTGTTCATGTTCTTAATATTTTTCTGTGTGATTTTATATATATATATATATATATATATATATATATATATATATATATATATATATATATATATATATATATATATCTCGTTTAGATCCACAATGAAAACGTGGATAAGATCAATCTTGATAACATCACACGGGAAAAGGGAAACAACGGAGCACCTTAGCTTTCGTCTTTATTCAAGACATCTTCAGAGGCAACTGGATTACATGGACAGAGAGAGGCTTAAATAAACAGGGTGACCTTATTAAACATGAGGTCAGGTCATAATAATGTCATCCACTAATCCCCACACCATACACACGTAGAGGAGCTAAAAAGAAGGGGGCGACGTGACTAGTCAGGTCAGGTCAAAAATAAGGGACCCACTAAATAACTATCCTACATCTAGATCAAAGGTTTTCAAAGCATTTTTAGCCTTGGGCCACTGACAAATAAATTTATGTAACATATATCAGATTTGAACTGACCATCACTAATGTTTATTGATTTTAATTCCCTAATCAAACTAGCTTCAACCAGAAGTCTTTCTGTGACACAAGATGAGAATACTTCTAAGCTTTTTTCCCAAGCAATGGGATGATTATTATTCCTAACATGAACGAACAAGACACTGCTTTCAGATGCTGTTCTGATATTGTACTTCTGTTGTTTGCTTCTGAGCTGCAGTGTTTTTCCTGTCTGTCCTACATAATTACAATTACATTTGCTACATGGAATACAATAAACACTTCCATTTACATTCAAACTTGGGCTAATTCTTATTAACATATTGGTAATGGTTGAGTCATACTTGAAAACAACATTAATATGTAGTAGCTTGAGGGACCGAACTAACGGGACAAATTCATTACGATAAGGCAGAGTCAAAATATTCTTAAGTGTAGGAACTTGTCTGGTTTGAGAGGAATGGAAGGATTTTTTAGCCCTTTTAAAACAACGATCAACAAACACAGAAGGGCACCCAAGTTTTTGTGCAATGGAACGAATGTGTTTCAATTCATCATCAATAAAGTCATAGTCACAAATACGCAGTCATGCTAAGAACATAGCAGAAAAAACTGACATTTTGGTAGACTCCAGGTGATTCGATAAAAAGTGTATGAAACTGTCTACCTGTGTGGGCTTTCTGTATACCTTAAATTTGTAGTTTTGGCCATTTCTCATGGTAAGCATAACAAGGAATGGAAGGGATCCATTTATTTCTCTTTCAATTTTGAATGTGATACTTGGGACAATATCATTAAGCTTGTCTAAAAATTCCAATGGGTCACTGTTTCTAGGCCAAGGAAACACTTTTTATCGAATCACCTGTATATATATATATATATATATATATATATATATATATATATATATATATATATATATATATATATATATATATATATATATATATATATATATATATATTATATATATATATATATATATATATATATATATATATATATATATATATATTAGATATATATATTGTTGATTGTTGGCAAGTTCGGTGGTGGTGGGTGAAATGTGTAGTGTGTGTAATCAGCCATTACGTGTAATGGCTTGTCAACTTGTGTAAGGTAAACATTTTAATCAAATTTAACCTAGCAAAACCAATTGTATACTATATCATGCCTAGCCTACCATAACTTAACTGAACATTAAATTAAATAAGTTAGTCGTGGTCTGGTTAGAATAGGTTAGGTCACGTTACGTTACATTACGCTAGGTAGGTTTCATTAGGATACCTAACTTAACCTAACCAAATCTGTTTTTCCTAACCTAACCAACTAATGTTAGGTTAAGTTAGGCTAGGTTAGGTTAGGTAAGGATAGGGTAGAATAGGTGTGGATAGGTTAAAATTAGATTAATTTAGTTTACATTACACTCTTTGTAAAATATATATATATATATATATATATATATATATATATATATATATATATATATATATATATATATATATATATATATATATATATATATATATATATATATATATATATATATATATATAAACATATATTTATATATATATATATATATATATATATATATATATATATATATATATATATATATATATATATATATATACTGTATATTTACTTACCAAAATCATTGTTTGGTTCTCCCTTAGCCCAGTTGTCATAGTCGAAGGCAGATCTATCAGTCCATTCATATCCAGAGTCCAACTTCGCCCGACCTCCAATCCATAATATACTATCAGAGAGACTGTTAATCTGAAGGAGTAAAATAAAATTTAGTAATTAGCATAGTGTTCAGCCACACACTTTCACTAAACAACAGACCAATAGACCAAATCTGTTTATATTGAAACATGGGATGGTAAATTGGAAAATTTTTTTACATGTATGGAAAATATTGAAAGATTAAAGGAATGGTTATTTTCTTCTACTAACCTACTGGAGTTGATACATTCAAAGAGAAAATGTCTTTTATTAAAAACGTTTTGCTTGTGGTTTCCTTTAGTCAACATAAACTGTAGTCCTTAAAGACTTCCACAATTTACAAAACTTCCTGTCTCCTTATTTAATTTCCCATATTTATGTTTCATCTTGTTTCCATACCTTGCTCGTTAGCCATACTCTTTGTTGAAGCTCACTGTTACGTACATTTCTTACAATGGAATCAGAGCAAAGTCAAGTTTTATGATAGATATTGCTACTTTTTTTTTAGTACGAGCCTTGATATTTAATGAATTTCTGATATTTATTGTTTTTGTTGGAGTTAACCTTATATGATTGATGTCAACTGCGTGTGAGTTGGATTTGATATTCTGTTAATTTGCAGCCCTAACTGTGATGCCTTAGTGATTTTAGGAAATTTTTTTGCTGTACAGCTTGTGTTTGAAGAAGAATATGCATTTGTCACCCTGTTTCAAATAAAAATATTTTTTGTACAAGTATGATTTGGGTAAAACGCACACACCTTTGCTTACAACAATATTGTTATTTCTTAAAGTAGTATTTCTTTTTCCATCAAAAACAGATTAAAGTCAACTGACTCTTTTTGAGTTATTCATCAGTACAGGAATACAACAAACTTTGTAATTCTCCAAAAGAATTATCTTAACCAAGGGGATCCATAAGCCGGCTTTCCACAAACTTGCACTAATCACTCGTAATAATCCAGTAAAACTACGCACTGCGCCATGTTAGGTGTTCTGGGTAATAAGTTCTATATACAGGAGAGAACACAAACACCTGTATAGTTTTGTAGGTTCGGTTTACTGGATAAGAGTATGTACACAGAGGTGGGTAGCACTCCTCACTAGCTAGGCTCCTGGTCAACTACTATAGACGACGTATGGCAAGTGATACATTAGCAGCTTCCATACGTCGCCAGGCACATTAATTAAGCATGTGGGATATGGTAATAACATTGCCACACGCTGCTAGCTAGGCTGAATAAATATAAATGGAGCACATACATAATATACATACATAATGCATAATCCAGCATACATAATATACATACAAACATATACACTCTTGTCCTGTAACATTAATTCATTCTGTAGTAGTAACAATTCTATAAACTTTTGTTCCTCCCCTTTTTTTATTTTTTTTTCAATTAGATCTACCCAATTTGAATTTTACTTTCAATTTGTATAAGAAAAAATAGCAACGATATTCTAAATAAAATCTATTTACTCTTTATATATGGCCGTTTATATGGTTATCATACCTTTGATTCAATCCAGTAGTTCACATCGTAGGTGTGGATGGACACCAGTTCTCCACCTATATCTCTGCAGAGCCTATGAGACTCCCACCAGCTCTGAGTATCTTCATCAGCAAGAGATACGAACTTGTAGCAGTAACCTTCATATAAGTACCAAGAAGGATCATCGTCACACATGACATCGGGGCCTCTGGTTGGCGGCGCCATTGTTGTTACCATCGTTCCTACAGGAACACATATTACATTACATTTTAAAATTCTGTGAGAACCGTGTGTAGCATATTCCTCGAACAAGAACATATTCACTTGAAACTGATAATATTTCTTATGAATTATTAGTATGATTTATGTCATCATGATCCTAGAACGAAAATTAAGTTGAGTCATAATTTTTTACAATATTAACCGGATGAAATTTCTGTCATCTGAAAGTTCTTTGGCAACTGTGAAAGAAAAAGACAGTATACTAAACATTCAGAGTAGAATGTGGCAACATGTTTAAATGTTTGTTACTGATGATGAAATGTGACATTGCCACTCTGAATTTATTCTTGGGTGGTAGCCATCTTGGATTTCAAAATGGCTACAATTTACAAAATATTTTACATAATTTCTCAGATTCTAGACAAGATGTAATGTAATGTAATTTGTGTCTAACACTTTCTTTTGTGGATAGGAGAATGTACTTATAATATATCAAATATATTCACTCCAAGGTACAGTACCAAATGTTTATCAAGGCTTTACAAATGGTGATTTTGTGACAAAAGAAACATCCCAGAAGGTTAATCAGATTTCAGACGATACAGCTCTTGCCTCTCTTGAGCTTGCGAACAAAGTAAGAAAAGTCATAGGAGGTCTAGTTGGCATAACACGAAGACATACTCCTCGAGATCGATGGTGTATCACATACAATGAACAAGATCAGGTATCACAAGATGCAATGCCAGTGTTCAATTTGATCAGTGATGATGCTGATAAGGTTAAACACAAAGATTTTGGACCAAAGAGGGTGAAAAGAAACCAAGAAGATGAGAATAAATTTGCTGAACAATTTGAACGGTTCCCTATATTTGGATGAGATGGTACGGATTTGATATCAGTTATTACCGGAGATGTTGCCAGTGATAAAGTGAAAAGTTGTTTACTACATGCTTAGGGGAGGTAGTTGGGAAGCAAGTGTTTTCAGACTTTGTTTAGGACAGGTTAATTGATAGGAAAACAAGATTTCAGGACTCAACCAAGAAGCAGAAACTGAAAACATTTAAATTAATGTACGCAGTACAAGTAAATGCAGGCAAGCAGAAAACAGTCTCTATAAAAGCAGATCGTGATTTATTCCAGAGAGAAATTGTGGCTCTTGAAGCTGGTCAATAGGTTGATGTTAATAAGCTACTTGAGCAGGAACTCTTTCCTGTGCCTCTATCATTGGCGACAATTGACGGGATGTTGCGTACACCAACAAACAGTGCAGATTTGAGCCAAATTCTTGTTCAAGACATTCGGGTCATGCGGGTCGCGTCGTGTTGAGTCAATGAAACAAAGCGTGTTGGCACTTGGGCCTTCGCTGTTGAGCAACGGCAACTGGACAGTGATTCCATAAGAGAATCAAGATCATCTTAGTGGACTGGCCGTGGGGTATACAACCACAAAATCATTGCTATATGCCAAGATTTATTAAGAAAAAATTAAACGAGTTATTTACATGGTTGTGATTTGACCGCACAAAGCAGACCAGAGAGTGTTATACTGTGCCATTAGCTAAGACAGTCCACAGTGATAACAGTGACCGCGGTGGAGGCTGAAATTAAATTGAAGCGAAAAACAAAAATAGGACAAGCAACAGGCACTAGTGGCTGGAAGTAGCCAAGACACATTATAGTCGGCTGAAAATATGGTTTGACCCCAAAAAATTCCTACAAAAGGTTTCTCAACTGTTTATTGTAGTATCAGGTGTGCTTAATAACATATCAAAAGTCTACCACAGTTTGACCACGAGAAAGGTCTAATTTTCAAGATGGCGTCGAAGTTAGCCACCAGATCCTAAAATGCCCGTTACTCCTTCATTATTCATCCTAGACAAGTAATTTTGGTGCCTAACCCCATACTTTGGGGATCTAGGAATCCAGTTAGCATATTTAAAATAATAGTGAAGTGATTACAGAATTACATTAATCCAAGATGGCGGACAAATATGGCCACCAAACTATGAAAATGCCAATGACTCCATCATTATTCATCCTAGACAGGTAATTCTGGTGCCTGACCCCTTGTTTTGGGCATCTAGGAAACCAATAAGCATATTTAACATAGTGTAGTGCTTACTGGTAAAAAGTTATAACAAATTCCATAATATATATTTCTGAAAAATGCCTTTGATCTGAACCAGGTTTACAAATAGTCATAGTCACACTCTTCCTCCTGTAAAGGTTGATTATGTGGATTCTCACAGTCTTCAATTTGACATGGTCCACAAGCGGGTGTGCACGGTAGTCCGTATCCTCTGCAACTACAACGTGTTCGGCAGGCAGTTGTGCAATTACAGTGGACCATCTGCAGGAGGCTTTCTGGCACAGGAGTTTTCTTGGTCATAACTGGCACAAACTGATTGTCCTCCAGTTTCCATCCCCAATCCACTGCATTCATGTCACTCTCCTTTCCAGTCCACACCATGACCTGGTAATACACTCTAAAGCTATGATATTTAGTCGAGGACTTGGTAGGAGGGAGACGTTCTGGGGTAACAAATGACTTGGCGGAGACATTTTCTTGATCAAAAGGTTGTAGCGCAAAGAGGCAAGTGAATCGGTACTCTTGCCACCAAACAGAACTGCCATCGCCTTGCTCCCAAGGCCCTCTATGACACTGTTTGCTTGATTAGGGACCAAAAACGCATTCGCACAGGTCTGAATGGTCAATTCACCATTCACAAGTTTCTGGAACGCTGACTTTTTGCCAACACTGAAAATGCGGGAAGTTGTGTCACATCCTGTGAAAGCGTGGATAAACAGCAACTGAGAACACATGTCACTACCCAGGACTTGTTTCATCTCACTGATATTGTACACCTTAGGAACTGTGGACTTGTCCGAACGAAAATAGAGGCCCCTATTGTTTGCTTCAGCATAGTAGAGGAGAAGAATGAGCAGGTCTGTATCCTCCCCTATCAAGGTCGTGAGCTGATGTTGTGACGCCTTGATTGCAGCCTTGACAATGTCCATGTCTGCATCCCCTAATGCATTGATAACAGTGCAGCCCTTCTTCTGTAGCTCCTCAGTTACAAGATCAATAAGTCCTTGTTTGTTGCAAGATCTGGAAAGGAAATCATCCTTTCTTCCAACAAACTCAGTTTTTGCATTGAAGCTGATGATCGGGCGGGTTTTGCCCACGTCGCTGATGCGTATTGTCTTTGATGGAACGACCTTCATTATAGCCATCAAAAACTACGGTTGCTTTTCCACAATGGCGTATGGTAAAGTCAGCATACATCCGTGCAATGGCACCATAACTGTCACCCTTTTTCCATGGCAAGCGATGAACCTGGGAACCATCGTCAAGGACATAATGTTCAGTTAGTGGGATAGAATCCATGACAGCTTCTTTTGATTTCTTGCTTGAATACTCAGCAACTGCATGTGCTAGTTGGGGCTTGTCAGCTTTATGAATGATTTCCTTGGCTTCAAACAGGGCTGTAGGGAATGGGCTGAGCTCATAGCTCATTACATCTTCCAGTGAAAGGTCTCGGATTTTTGACAGAACCAGAAATCTTTGGAACAGCAGAGCAAGATCAATGGTTCGGCCTTGGGCAAATTTGATGGTGGATTCATGTGCGGGGGTTTTTGCCCGGTCTTTCCGTTTGAATGAGATCCCCAAAACAGATTTTCCAACCATTTTTTCAATAATCTCATTCCCAAGAGTCTCATACTCATGCACATTCACATCCTCTTTGGCGACTAAACCAGTAATGATGTTTCTCAGAGATGGGTCTGGAGAAAATGGCATGCATGTGAACAGTTTTTCCTTGATCTTTTCCAGGTCAGAGTGATCTCGTTTCATCCTTGCTTTTGTTGATTATCGGTGTTGCTCGCTGGTCGTGTAGGTGAGGTCATTGAATTCCTGCATGGCATTGTTGTACTCAGATGTGATGGGTATGGACATGGTCCACAATGCGCGCATTTCTTCAGTCATTCCACTTCCATGAGTCAAGCCTCCACTACTCTTTAAGGACCGCATCAGTGTCTGCTCGATCATAAGGTCAGAGCTAAGGCCTGCCCAGCACTGGTTGCTGCGGCGGATCACATGGAAACCCCTAGAAAATTTGTCATATACATCAGGATGTCTAGCCTCGAGTTGGCACATTTCTTGGACATACAAATATGCAGAATTCAGATAGTTGTAGTGCCCAGCGGCGGCAAATATTGGCAGGCAATCTGATACTGCGCGCAAGTGCATCATCCAAGATCCTGTGCGATCCGCTCTGATCACCATTCGAGCAGTCCGCAGCATTCTCTGATAGTTTATCCACAGCTGACTGGTTTTTGACCTTGTACTAAGTTCTGCCTTCTTTGTGTTAATCATATCTTTGATCTGGATCAACATATCTGATGCTACAGCGCTCTCCAAAGTCGTTTCTTTCGCCACCAAGAATGAGTATGTTTCTTCCACCTGGTCTACCATTGACTCGAACTGTGGGTTATCCTTCAGCAGATCCGACACAACCAGGTGACTGAGACTGTGGTAGACTTTTGATATGTTATTAACCACACCTGATACTACAATAAACAGTTGAGAAACCTTTTGTAGGAATTTTTTAGGGTAAGGTGGGTTTTTTTTCATAAATGCAGCCGCCTATTACTGGCGCCACAAAGAAAGTTTTTGTGTGTGTGTGTTTTCTAAAGGACTGTGATTGTGCATATGATCGACCACTCATAGGGAGATACAGTTTACATAGTGATAGTATATAAAGATATCAACTCGCTGAGGAGAACTGGAAAAGAGAACAAGAGTAAATAATAGAAAAAAAAACAAGCCTTAACTGTCTCGGACGGCAACACTGGATGAACGAGTGTGCCATCGACATCAAGACTTGTAGGACAGCTAAGTGATTTTTTTTTTAATATTATTATCCCGCCACAAGGGAATGATCACTCACACATATTAGTTCACGAAGATTAGAAGGTAGTAGATATGATTGTAAAGGAAGCCATCGGGCAAGGGGTAAATG